TTTTGTCAAAACGGGATGTTACAATTGCTACAAGGAAATATTGGCCATAACTTGGCTCTGATACCAAACTGTAACACCCTACCCTATACGTATTACCTAATCATATAGTTCATACAATTGCAGCGGAAATAATCTCGGGTGTTACATTAATTATCAAAATTTACCCAAATAAAATTTCGACATGAATTACTCGCGTAATGGGCTAACAGTTCTTGCAACTTATCCTGCAAAATAATTCATCACAAACATATACTCACAACCATATGCATTGGCTTTTCATAGCCATAGTCACAGTTTCATACTACACAACTGCATACTATACTGATACATGCTATAATCATCACAACTTACATAATTACACAATATACACATATCATCAACTTTCCACACCTGTGGATATCTCACACTACATCAGAAGCTAGTATGCACATGAAAAACGTTCTCAAAACATTTTACAAAAAGGTGTGGATCACTGGCCAAAATCTCAAGTAGTCGTCCAAGCACAGAATAGTTGAAGACCATACCTCATCTTGACTTTAACTCTAGCTTCTCTCACACCTAACACCTATCTACTGCTGCTGATGATCTGCTTACACATAGCATAAACAGAGGAAAAGGATAAAAGAGGGTCAGCTCATAGCTGAGTGAGATAATCATAGCATCGTGAGTTCATAACATAGCATACCCCTACCATACAGCTAGCAAACAAGCCAAAGCACTAGGATCGGACCTCAGCCATCCTCATATCCCAATGGGCAAAAGACTCAACGACCTTGACTTATGCATATGCATCTTATCATGTTTTAATCATAGGCGCCTGGCTACTCCAATGCTAATAACTCTCCCAGGAAACATACCCCACATCCCGTCGGATGTAGTCATACATACCCCAACATCCCGTCGGATGTGGTCATACATACCCCACACCACTATGGGTGTAGTCATACCCCGACACCGCTCTGGGTGTGGTCATATCTCGTAAGAATTCTTCAGTCACCACCACATGAGAGGTGTGACTATCATACATATCATAATAGAGTAATAACATAGGGAGCCCTAATTACTATGTAGTTGACCGTGAGACAACAACATTCATATTTGGTATCCTTATACATGATTCATATCTCATCTTGCTTAATCATAATTCGTTACTTGCACATGAACTTGACCTGGCCATAATTGGCTCAACATAGGTAAATCAGGAGTCGTATAATTGCACTTCCTCGGGATAAACCCTCGTGCAAGTCATCCTCCTTAAACATCATAATATCACCAGGGAAAATATATTTTCCCACATGTGCATCCAAATACAACAATCATGAAAAATCATACCCAATCACCTTTTCGAACCATCATAAGGCATATCAACAGTCAAGCCCACAATTTGCAACATATACGAAATCATCAGCATAAACATGGCCCATATCGGCTAGGGCAAGTCAATAATATCATACAACAATCAATGGTTCATCATATAGCATAAAAGTTCATACACCCCTAATCATGCCATTCTAGTTCACCTAGGTCAATTCTAAGCATCAATATAATTATCGTGATACGACAAACCCGGTATGCCGTGTCAATCCCTCACCAGTTCTGGTCGTTCAAACACCGGTTCTAGCCTCCCGTACTAAAACGTCAATTTCACGAACGAACCCCGAATTAAAATCCGAGACCGTCCTAATATCCCCTGCAGTATCCCCGTCAATATTAGTTCTAGGCTCCGGATCAAATTCTCGATAAAACACATCAAACCCTGGCCGGAGCTAAATTCAGCGATTAGGACCCCGACCTAAATAATTGCCGAAATTCAGAGATTAGAACTAGAGGATTGATTACCTCGCTGCAGGAAGCTCGTATATGAAATTTGGGCTCAATCCGACTTCTGGATACTCCGAAACCCTAATTTGGCTTATCGGGAATTCAAGAAATTCCTGAACCAAAAACTCGTTTTAAAGCTCTAAATCGATAAATCACGATGTATAGATGAATTAGGCATTACTTACGGGATTTTTGGATCAGTAGAGCTCCAAAACTAAGCTCTGCAAATTTCCACCGAGTTGGCTCTGTGTTCTCTGTTCCTCGTTCCGAAAATGGAAAGGGAAGGGAAATAGATTCTGGCCAAATAATGACACGGGGGAGGGATTTATATATTAGTCTGTGAACGCTTATATATATATATATATAATATATATAATTATATATTATATATATAATTAATACGTATACTTATCCGATCGATCGATAATCCGATTTTCGTCGAAATACTGTCAAAATGCTCGATTTTAATTCGTGAAATTTCTAGAAACCGTAATACGAGTTTTGTCAAAACGGGATGTTACAATGATTGTGGCAAAATTTGGAATAGGTTCTTCAGAATGGAAACCTTGTTGGAACTTGGGATCATATGGTTGCTCTTTGTGGCGTACTATTGTCAACGAAAGCTCGTACTTTTGGAGAGTTGCTTATGTCGATCCTGGGGGGGGGGGGGGGTTATGGAGTGTCCTTTTGGCATGATGTGTGGATTCCTGGGAAACACTTGGTGAGAGAGTTCCCAAGGGTTGGGTCCGCTGCCCAATCCTTGGATGCTTTTGTTTCTGACTTGGTTTCTTTGGATGACAGGTCTTTTTGGGAGATCCCCCTTACAATTTCACTAAGAGGCGGGGCGGAAGCTGAACGAGTTCGTTTGATGCATTTGTTGTCTTCACTCCCACATAGTTGGACTTGTGCCGACCCAGCTCATTTGGTTTGGCCCTTGGAGAGATCATCGATTTTCTCTGTGCATTCCTTCACACAGCACCTCATTGATGATTCGTTTGAAGGTGACAACTCCTTCCCCTACAAGCTCATATGGATTTCTTCCATCCCTTCGAAGATTTGCTGCTTTCTTTGGATGACCTCATTATCAAAAATTGCCACCATTGACAACTTGAGAAGAAGAGGAATGATCATTACTAATTGGTGTTCCTTGTGTAAAAGCAACGAGGAGTCGATTTCACATCTTATGTTTACATGCCCATTCTCAAGGATAATTTGGGAATTCTTCACGAGAGCTTTAGAGCTGCATGGTCCTTTCCCCACTCAGGTTCGGTCTTTTCTCCATGCTTGGAGAGGATTGAGGTGTGATCCGAAGTTCACAGATTGCCTTAAAGTCTTGCCACATGCAGTGTGTTGGTCACTCTGGAGCGAAAGAAACAATAGGATTTTTAGAGATATTGAAATTTCCCCCATAAACTTGTGTCACAAGATCATCCAAGTGGTTGGTAGGTGGCTTCGAGCATTTAAAATTCTTTCAGACGCCCACTTACAACAATGGGTAAGGATTGGGGATGGTTGATGGTTGTTCCTTTGTTTTGATTTGTTTCCTGGTTTTGCCTCAATGTGTGGGTGCTTTTTGGGGCATTGAGGTTCAAGGGAATTCACTTTGCTTTTGTTTCTCTTTCTGTTAGTGTTAGTTATCTGTCACCAGTCTTGAAGTTTTCATACTGGTTCTTGTTTTTTCTTTTTGGGGTCATTTGGATCCAGGTTTTTAATTTGTGGGATTTGGGCTCAAATCACTGGTTTAAAAACCTAGGTTTTTAATTTGTGGGATTTGTGTGGGATTTTAAAATAGCTGATCACCATCAGCTATTTCATAATCACACAATTGTGGGTTTCTGAAATCTCTAATATTTAAAATCTCTTATCATATAATTGCTTTCCAAACGAGTGATTTTAATAAAATCCCACATTATGTAGGATTGTGCCCAAATCCCACACCCAAAACCTGCATCCAAATGACCCCTTTGAGTTTTGGTATTGTTTTGCCAAACCTTTTTTCTTTTTCATCTCAAACTTTTTTCTTCTTGCTTGTAAATGTGTTCGTTTTTTGAGTTGTATTTTCTTGTTTTCTCTTAGTAATAAAATTCATCATTCATAAAAAAAAAAACAAGCTTCTTTGTTTAGTTTTTTTTTATATAGATTGGCTTGCCATGGACGAGTCAACAAAAAGACTTTGTATAACACCCTAACCGGATTAGTACTTTTATTAAAATAACCTTATTAATAAATAAGATCTAAATAGTGGTAAAAATACCACTTGATGAATTTTCAAAACACAAGAAAAAAAAATTAACATATTAAATAGTTGACTGAAATCTGCATCAAATCTCAATTCTAGCACAAATACTCAATCAATCATCTTCGTTTGGAAGTCCTTTGGAGTCTTTAATCAGATGATGATCTGTCACAATTCCTTAGTGGCCTTTTAACGTTCCTACAACTCCAGAGTGCGAACTCAATATCATAATTCAGAGTCAAGCCTACCATGAGCTCATTGAAATAAACTGAACTATGCTACAAGTGGTAAGAAGTCAAACAATTGGTTGAATCCATTCGGAATACAAGGGTGAGGGGAAAGAGGATCATTCGCCATACAACGAGTGTAGCACAATCGATTTAAACTATAGTCTCGTCGCTGGTACTCCACCAATAACGAGACCGCAACACAAAAGAACTTTTGATTTGAATTCGAGTACAATGCCTCTCCTATGGATGATCATTGATCAGCCAACCCATCACCAATTTTAACAGTGGAAGTGACAAATGACAAGTTACTAGCTCACCAACAAAGGGGGAAAACAACCCCGTGAAAGTCTATCATCATATTTAACACTTTGGACTTTGCATGCAATCATGAAATTTTCGGATAAACAGAAGTTTTAAAGTTTAATAGGAAATTCTACAACAAGCCCGTCTAGCTCAGTTGGTAGAGCGCAAGGCTCTTAACCTTGTGGTCGTGGGTTTGAGCCCCACTTTTAATTTTTAAATTCCTTTAGCCCAAGATCCAAAACAGCCCAAGATCCAACTACTCCACAAACAAGTCCCCGCACAAATCGGAGGCCCACGTTCATTAACCCCCCTACCTTCAACTTCCTTTCCCCTAACACCGTTTACTTAACGCCTGCCAGAAAACTTATTCCTCGTTTCCTCTCTGGCTCCCTCCCTTCTCCCACCGTTACCTTAACGTCACAAAAATATCCTGCCCCGTCCCCCCTCTGTTTCACCTTTTTTACCCTTCCCTTCCGATTTTCACTCTTCTCCCCTCTGTCTGCTTCGTTGTCGACCACCATACCTTCCAAAAAAACTATCCGTCTCCCCCCAAAAAAGCTTTCTTACTATATATTCACACTCTCTTCTCCTCTCTCCCCGCTCCCTCCCTCTCTTTAATACAGACACAACCGTCCTTATCCTCCGGCCCAGCCATTCTTCCGTTCGTCGGCCTGCTCTCCCACCCCTAAGATCCGACAATGAGAGAAATCCTGCACATCCAGGGCGGCCAGTGCGGCAACCAAATCGGCTCCAAGTTCTGGGAGGTCATCTGCGACGAGCACGGCGTCGACCCGACGGGAAGGTACAACGGCGACGAGGCCTCCGATCTCCAGCTCGAGAGGATCAACGTCTACTACAATGAGGCGTCCGGCGGCCGCTACGTCCCCCGCGCCGTGCTCATGGATCTGGAGCCTGGCACCATGGACAGCATCAGATCTGGTCCTTACGGCCAGATCTTCCGCCCCGACAACTTCGTCTTCGGGCAGTCCGGCGCCGGGAACAACTGGGCCAAAGGTCATTACACGGAGGGAGCCGAGCTCATCGATTCCGTCCTCGATGTCGTTCGCAAGGAGGCCGAGAACTGTGATTGCTTGCAAGGTATATGACGAAATGACAATCTGGTTTCTCTCGTTTCTCAGATCTGTTTTGGTGTTTGTGTTTCTTTTCTTGATTAATGCGAATTTCATTTGACTTGCATTGATTTGTTTGAACTCTGCCAACTCCAGAGCGTAGATTCGCTACCGTTATTGAATCTGAATTCGTCGAAAGTTATGGCGGTGTTGAAAGGATGAAGCTCATTGTGGTAGTATGAATGGATCGACGCGAATTTCATCTGTGTTTGTATGAATGGATTAACTCAAATTTCATCCGGATTTCTTGATCATCTCTCAATGCCCTACTATAATAGGATCTCATTAGACACATTTTTTATTCGTTTGAACTGTTTAGCAAAATTGACATCACCACCATTGTTGAATCTGTTACGTTCTTAATCATGAGCTTGTACTAAGGAAGCTGCAGCAAGCGTAAATGACAGTTAACATTTCTCCCTTTCTCGTGAATCTGTCATTTTGCTCCTTTTGAATGATTATGTTCATTGCTGGTTGCGCTGCTCCATGTTATTCCTTTTCGTGCTTGTTTGTTCTTTAGCCAAAACTTTTCTCCATTGAAGATGTGAGCTGTATGATCATGGCCCCCACCATTGATATTGTCTGGCGTGGAGATTCTTTTTTGTGGTCTTTCTCTAAACTTCATAATTAGAGTCACTTTGAACAGATCTAGAGATGAAATTAATGATAATGTCTAAGTTTCACCGCTGCATGATTGGGGGGGATGGCCCAATCCCAACAACACCACCCACCCGCATCTACTACCCCTTTTCATCTTTTTCGCATACTGTTTTTTTTTTTTTTTGAATATTTTTAGCATACTGTTACTGGGGAAAAGTAGAAATGGATTAGAGGAAAGATCTGGGTTCTCATTATGCTTTAGAAGAAGTAAAGTGACGTCTGTCATTGTCCCTGGTTTGTTGATTTTGACTTGAGTATGTAGCTTTCATGTTGGTCCATTGCCTTTGGATCTAAAATTCTGATTCTTATGTCTCTGTTAATGGCTGATTTGGCATTCCGTTCACTTGTCCAATCTGAAGTAGTGGACTTTAGGTTTAGATGCTGTTTATGGTAATAAATAGACTGACTTAATTTCATTACCAGGTTTTCAGGTATGCCATTCGCTTGGAGGGGGCACAGGTTCTGGCATGGGAACCCTTTTGATCTCTAAGATCAGAGAGGAGTATCCCGACCGGATGATGCTCACATTCTCGGTCTTCCCTTCGCCCAAGGTCTCAGACACCGTGGTGGAGCCCTACAACGCCACTCTCTCTGTCCATCAGTTGGTTGAAAATGCTGACGAATGCATGGTCCTTGACAATGAAGCACTCTATGACATCTGCTTCCGAACTCTCAAGCTCAGCACTCCAAGCTGTAAGTCCCATTCCATATATGGCTTCACTCAACGGTGCATTGATATGCAAATGTCATAACCACTGAAACTGAACTAATGTGTGCTTTCCTGATCATGCAGTTGGAGATCTGAACCACTTGATATCAGCAACCATGAGCGGAGTAACATGCTGTCTCCGTTTCCCTGGTCAGCTCAACTCTGACCTCAGGAAACTTGCTGTGAATCTCATCCCATTCCCTCGTCTCCACTTCTTCATGGTCGGATTTGCCCCTCTCACCTCCCGTGGATCGCAGCAGTACATCTCCCTCACCGTCCCTGAGCTGACTCAGCAAATGTGGGATGCCAAGAACATGATGTGCGCTGCCGACCCCCGCCATGGCCGGTACCTGACTGCCTCAGCCATGTTCCGTGGCAAGATGAGCACAAAGGAAGTCGACGAGCAGATGATCAACGTCCAGAACAAGAACTCGTCCTACTTCGTTGAGTGGATCCCCAACAATGTGAAGTCGTCCGTGTGCGACATCCCACCCAGAGGGCTGAAGATGGCTTCCACTTTCGTTGGGAACTCGACTTCCATCCAGGAGATGTTCAGGAGGGTGAGTGAGCAGTTCACTGCTATGTTTAGGAGGAAGGCTTTCTTGCATTGGTATACTGGAGAAGGGATGGACGAGATGGAGTTCACCGAGGCAGAGAGCAACATGAATGATCTGGTTGCAGAGTACCAGCAGTACCAGGATGCTACCGCAGATGATGAAGGGGAGTATGAGGAGGAGCCCGAAGAGTATGAGGGGTAAGAGAAAGGCTGCAACTTTCTCCCAATGTTCCGTATGTCTGTGCTTAATCGCTAGTTTTTGTGTTCTTCTGGTTTGTTCCTTGTTTCTGGGAGGTTTGTGGATGATGTTTGATGGGAATAATTTCCGACCATTATTTGCTTGAGGGAGTATGAGAGGAAGGAGGAGGAGCAGTTTCTTTGTTACTTGCTTTTTTCGTATTCAATGGTTGAATTATTACTTGGTGTATGTTTCCTTTTTGTGGGCTATGGTGGAAATTTTTCTTGGACTAGAAATTGGGGATATGTTTTTGAGGCTGTTGCTGTCAATCTTTTTTGAGTTCATGGAGCTCTTCCTCGATGTCAGGACTTATCTTCAATGCATCCTAAAAGGGGTATCAATGCAAAATCACTTTTCCCGTTTGTATATATACGAGTTGGTATTTAGATTGGTCGTTCACCAAAATTCACATTTTTTAATGGCAAAATATATAGCCAAAACTTTCGCGTTTGTGCTAATAATAGCAAATTTGGAGAAATATCACTTATAGCCAAAATTTTGAAAGTTTCATGACAAATATAACTATTTCTGTTACAAACTTTAACGGTATTAGAGACTCCATTAATTAGGTTAACGTTAGAGTGACTAGGATGTCAAATCATCGCACACATCAGTGACACATCATCATATCATTGCCACGTCAGTTAATTTTGAGTTACAAAATAATTAATTTTGAAAAAAAAACAAACAAAAAAAAATATTTTCCTCCTACCCTCTACCAGTTCGGGATAGCAATGGGTCGAGTTAGGTCGGATTTTGCCAAACCCAAACCCAAACTCATGGGTTTATCCGTGTAAAAAACCCGGGGTAAAACCCATTGGGTTTTAAAAACTCAAACCCAACCCAACCCAACCCGCTGGGTATCCGCGGGTTCATGGGTACCCACGGGTTGTTGTCGTAAAAAATTTACAATAACAAGTTCCTATCAAAATTAAAGTCAAGTATCAATCTCTCAATACAAATTATCCATATATAAAACACCATTCTAGAAAATTAAAGCAAATCACAAATTAACTATACAAATTGTTCAACACCAATCTAGAAAACTCAAGAAAATTGAAGCAAATCACAAATTATCCATAAATAACATGATTAATTGAAAGCTTCTTCCTTTCAATTAAGTTTCTTCACTCTCCACTCGATAACATCAACTTCATTCCACACAATTAGAAAGAAAAAATTAGACATGTCTCCACAAACATAAATAAGTTTAGTTGTTTAGAATATTAAATATACCGAGAAAATTAATTATATGGTGTGGGCGGGTACCCTTGGGTCGGGTTTACCTAAACCCAAACCCAATCCGGTAAATAGTGAACGGGTTTAAACCCAAACCCGGCCCAAAACCCGTCAACACGGATTTTACCCGCGTTGATCGGGTTGGGTCGGGTGGGTACCCATGGGTTCGGGTTTTGTTGTCATCCCTACTACCAGTCGTCCCCTTCCTCCAAACCTGGCGGCGGCGGCGAGCAACGCTCAATCACCATCTTCTCGAACACCTGCAAAAAACCCGGAAAATTTATCTTCCATCTCTAACCCCTATCAACAGATAAACCCTTAGTAAAGATATCTGCCAACTGGAACTCAGTGCTAACATGGTGAAGGTTCAATAATCCTGACTTTAATCGTTCTCTGACCACATGGCAATCAACTTCTATATGCTTGGTCCTCTCGTGGAATACTGGATTTTCAGCTATATGGATGGCTGACTGATTATCACAGTAAACCTTGATGGGATGAGGGTGAGAAATGCCATAGAACTCAAGTAAGGCTTTAAGCCACTGCACCTCACATGACAACTGAGCAAGGGCTCTGTACTCTGCCTCTGAAGATGAACGTGAAACAGTCCCTTGCTTCTTACTCCTCCATGTTACAAGTGAGCTTCCTAAGAAGGTGCAGTAACCAGTAATTGATTTCCTGGAATCAGGGCAAGTTGCCCAATCAGAATCACTAAAACCACTCAACTGTGAATCTGTATTTGAAGGGAACCACAACCCTTGGCCTGGACACCCTTTAAGATACCTCAGTATCCTATGCAAAGCCTTCAAATGAACTGTTGTTGGACAATCCTGGAACTGACACAGCTGCTGGACAGGAAAACAAATGTCTGGCCTTGTTGATGTTAAGTACTGCAACTGTCCAAGAATGTGTCTGAAACCAGTGATATCCTCCAATGGTGTACCATCAGAGGCTGATAAAGAAGTTTTCATACTGATAGGAGTTCTGGCAGGCTTGCATTCAAGGAAATCAGCATGTTCAATCATCTCCAAACAGAACTTCCTTTGAGTCAATGAGATCCCTTTAGGTGTCCTGACAATTTCCAAACCTAGGAAGTACTTTAGATTGACTAGATCTTTTACCTTGAAACCTGACTGCAGTTGCTTCTTTACTGCTTCAATATCATCCAAACATGGACCAGCAAGGATGATATCATCCACATACACAACCAAAATGACAGTACCACTCTTAAACACTGAATAATCTTCAAAAGATTGAACAAAACCAATCTGAGTAAATAACTCAGTTAGCTTGATGTACTACTGTCTGCTGGCCAGTTTTAACCCATATAGGGATTTCTTTAGCTTGCATACCTTACCTTGCATGTGACTTAGCTCTCTCAACCCAGGGGGAAGCTCCATATAGATCTCCTCCTCTAAGTCACCATGTAGGAAGGCATTACTGACATCCATCTGATGTAAGTGCCAGGATTTAATAGAAGCAACTGCTAGAAGAAGTTTAACAGAAGCCATTTTGGCAACAGGTGAGAATGTATCCACATAATCATGTCCAAATATTTGTGTATAACCCTTGGCAACCACCCTAGCTTTAAACTTATCAATGTGTCCATTGGACAGAAACTTGGTCTTGTAGACCCATTTACTTCCAATAGGTTTGATTCCTGGAGGCCTGTCAACTATCTCCCATGTTTGATTTGCATCAAGGGCCTGAACCTCCTCTGTCATTGCCTTTTGCCAACAAGCATGAGGAGCTGCTTGGTGATAAGTTTGAGGATCAGGGGAGAGAGAGAGGGAAAGAGCAAAAGCTCTGTGGCTAGGAGATAAATGAGAGTAGGAAATGGTGGTGGCAAGGGGGTAAAGTATCTGTGAATCAAAGCTACTAGAAGTTGAGGTAAGAAAAGAAGTATGGAAATCTGCTAGGTGAGCAGGTTTCTTAAGAGTTCTAGCTTGCCTCCTCAAAGCAATGGGAAGGGATCCTGAAGAAGGATGATCAGGAGAGGAACTTTGTGGAGCAGAAGAAGGAGTAGAAACAGGAGTAGAAGGTGGAGAAGAGAAGGGAGAACCTGATCCTGATCCAGTTGGGGAGGCTGGAATGTAGTCAGGATCAGTGGATTCATGTATGTTGTGATCTGAGGGGAGTAAAGAAGAAAAGTCTTCTGTGAATGGGAAGGGGGGTTGGCCTGACAAGTTGGGAGCAGTAGGTGAAGAAGAAGGTGTAGTCTGATGAGAAAGAAAAGGGAATTCAGTTTCATTAAACTGAACATCTCTACTAGTGAAGACCTGATTTTTGTCAATATCATATAGTTTGTACCCCTTAATCCCAAAACTGTACCCTACGAAAACTGCTTTGATAGCTCTAGGGGAAAATTTTGGTTTATGTGGGTCAACAACTGTGGCAAAGGCAAGACATCCAAACACCCTCAAACTGCTATAATCAGGGGGTACTCCATACAAACACTCAAATGGAGATTTGTTGTCCAAAACAGGTGTTGAAATTCGATTGATCAAATAAGCAGCATGAAGAACTAAATGACTCCAAAAACTCTTTGGCAATCCAGACTGAAATTTGAGTGACCTTGCCACATTCAGCAGATGCTGATGTTTCCTTTCCACTCTCCCATTCTGCTGAGCTGTATAAACACAGCTCATTTCATGCACAATCCCTTCCTGCTGATAGAAATCAGCCATGTTGAACTCTTGACCTTGGTCAGTTCTAATGACCTTAACCTGTTTCTCAAACTGGGTTTTAACCATTGCACAGAAAGCTTGTAAAGATGAACGAGCTTGAGACTTGGAACTTAGTGAATAGAGCCAAGTACAACGACTATGGTCATCCACAACAGTTAGAAAATACTGATAACCATCATGTGAGACAATATCCACAGGACCCCAAAGATCTGCATGTATCAAATCAAACACAGAACTTGACCTAGATGAACTTCTAGGAAATGGTAAACGTTTCTGCTTTGCCAAATGACAAATCTCACAATCAAAACTCACTGGTGTTCTAATCTCATTACAAATTTTGTTCACTGCTTGTAGCCTAGGTAAAGAAAGGTGCCCTAATCTTTGATGCCATAAACTGGAACTGGAACAGGTGCTGGTGTTCACTCCAAGAACTTGGGGTTTGCAAGCCTCTCCAGGATGATTCTCTCCAAGAAGATACAGGCCTCTATTTACTGGGATTAAACCAATCCTCTGTTGAGATATGAGGTCCTGTATATGACAAAAGGTGGATTGAAATAAGAGTGAGACTGGGCTGTTTTTGGTAAGTTGGCTAACTGAGATTAAGTTGTAAGAAAAGGATGGCACCAAAAGAACATTAGTCAACAGAATACCACAAGGAAGTTTCACTATTCCTATATGAGTGGCTGAGGCTTGATGGCCATTAGGAAGATTTACAAACATCTTCTCAATCTGTCTGCACCTTAAGAAATGTTTAATGGAGCAAACAATGTGGTCACTAGCTCCTGTATCTAAAACCCAGAACACATCACCAACAGATGACTTAAGGGTTGATAGTGCAATAATACCTGTCATTGAAGTGCTGGCTTTGGTTAAGACAGAATTGGCTTGACTGGTGTTCTGGCCAGGATAGGACTGAAGAAGTGCCTTAAGCCTTGTTAGCTCTTCAAAGGTGAAGCCTGAGAAGGTTGAAGACCCTGAGTCTTGCTGACTGGCTGGGCTGGTAGGCCTGTAGTTGTTACCTCCTCCTGAAGTGTTCATGTATGGTGCATTGACATCTACAGATCCAGCAAAACCTCTTCCTCTTCCTGAGTTACCAGAAGGGTGAGGATTGTTTCCCAACAACCCATTTTTCTTCTTGAGTTTCCAGCAATCCTCCTTAACGTGGTTGTCCTTCTTACAGTAACGACAGAACAACCCAGTTTGCTGACCATAATCAGCTTGACCCTTGTCTCTAGGCTGATTAAATTGGGTTCTAGAAGCTGCAAGAGCTGTTGCAAGAGCAATAGCCTCCTCTGATTTACCAGCATTAACCTTAGCACCATTAAGCTGCCTCTCCAGCTGAACAACAGAACGATAAACACTATCCAGATCTGGAAGTGGATCAAGCATTAACATTTGAGTCTTGACCTGTTGATATTTTTCATTCAATCCAAGTAAAAACCTAATAACCCTTCCTCGATCCTGATAACCCATAACAGTCTCATACGTGCGCGAGGCACAATCACAGTAAGGAATAGGAAGATAGTTATCCAATTCATCCCAACACAGCTTCAGATTTGTGTGATACTCACGAATAGATTCATTTCCTTGCTTGACCAAGTCAATTTTCTCCTGCAAGTTTGCAATACGAACAGAATCCCCTTGACTTAACTTGCCTTTCAAGTAGGTCCAGGCCTCAGATGCAACCTTAATATTCCTAAGACTAGGAACAATGTTCTCAGACACAGAGTTTCTAATCCAACAAACCACAGTACCATTCACACGATCCCAGGTCCCATAGCTTGGATCAGTAACAGGAGGTACCTCGATTGTGCCTGCGATGAACCCTAGCTTGTTCTTCGTTCTGAGCGCAACTTCCATGGACTCGCTCCAAAGAAGGTAGTTGTCATCTGTCAACTTGAAGCTGATGACAGGAAGAAAGGAATTGTCACTCTGAGCAAGGTAAAATGGGTTTGCATAAGGATCCTCGTAGCGAGGCGACGAGATCTCCTTATCCTTGTTGTCTTTCTCACTGGAAGTTCCGTCGGCCATGGTGTCTCAGAGAAACACAGATGAAGGTGAAAAGAAAGTGAAAATGCGAGATGGGTAAGAAGAATCAGACTGGTTTTAGCCAACCAGGCTCTGATACCATGAGAATGTTTATGACCTAGCAATGGAAAGAGCTAGGGTTTGTGCAAAAGAGAGAAGCCGAGGTTGTGGGAATCGGCGGAATGCCTTTTTCCATTGGATTGCAGAGAATATATACAGCAAGCTAATTACAGGGAAAAGAGTAAAGCTGTACAATCTAAACGGCTAATTAAAACAAACAATCAAAATGGACCTATATAGAGATGCCAAGTGGCTAACTACAGTAACTAAGTAACGGCCACTACTTGAGAACAGAACGACGTCGTTGGTCTCTTTATTTATTTGCTGAGATTCCTTAACCGAGCCGAGTGAAAGGAAGCTCGACCCGGTTGACTCGTCCTCTGCATCCTGTGACAGCTGCAAGCTTCTGTTGCTTCTTCATCAATGGAGATCATCACTTGCAGCTGTGCTTCATAGATACCCGAGTGAACACCTTGCCCTTCCTTCTCCCTGCAAGTCCCTAATCCCTCCTGCCCATAAACTTCTACCCCGATACAAATTCCAGATTGAGAAGCTAAAGGTCTAGAGATTCGAAAATTCTCAGTGAAGAGGAAGCAGTAGAGAGATATAAGGTCGATTGAAGGATGTGTTCCAGTAGAGAAGACGCTGAGACATCGATCCGGATGTTTTCCCCTTTGCGATGAAAGGTGGGAATCGGTTGTGAGAAGAGGTAGGGTTGGGAGAAGTGATTTGTATCTAATACTGATGGAACCCAATTCCACTTGCGGGCATTCCACCTCTTTGGCAAACTTGATTTTAATTCAAACAACCATCAATTTAGCTTGAATATATATAAAAAATCGTTATATTATCATACATTCATAGATTATATCAAATCTCATCTAACATATATGTAATAATATATAAAATTACACCAAAACAACCGTTAAAACATGGATGAGACTTTTCACGTCGTTGCCTCTGCCATACTCCTCTTTGGCTTTCTTCGATTGGTTCTATAGCTTGAACTTGAAGGATGGCCTCTTGCCATCGAGCATTCTTCAAGTCATTTACTTGTACTTCTTACTGGTTATGAATGAAAGTCGAAAGATCCTAATCTTTGCGAGGAGGGAAAAAAGTGTAATAGATGTAGGAATGTAAATGAGTTGAGCTGTTCGCGAGCGACTCGAAGTTCGACTTGGGAAAAAGCTTGTTCGAAACTCGACTCATTAATAAATAAGTCGAACACGAGCTCAGCTTTGTTCAGCTCGTGAAGCTCGCGAGCTAGCTCGACTCGATGGCTTGTTGAGCTAAACTCGTGTGCTGGCTCGTTTAGAGCTCATGATATGTCTCAACATGTGGCTAGAGAGCCAACTCGATTACCGACTTATGGACAAATCAATCAATATCTTATGATTTTAATTCATATAGTTGTTAAATTATATATCTCACATATATAAAGTTTACATGTTGAGTATGTGAGCAATATATCGTATTTTCAACTTTAAAAAGAAATTATGTATCATAGATTGCTTCGATACTATGAAATAACAAAATTTGGAGTAGTTAAAATTTATTCACTAAATGATAAAGGATACCAACAAAGTATAATATGAGATTAGCTAACAAAATAAATGATATGTATCATCATATATACAAAATGAAGTACCAAATAAAAGTAAAGATTTTAGTAAACAAGCTAGATCGAACTCGACTCGACACGACTCGAGCTCAGCTCGTTTATTAACGAACCGAACTCAAACTAGGGTAAAACTCGACTCGGCTCATTTGCAACCCTAAATAAACGTAGTGATCTCCCCACCGTCACATAGGATGATAAGACTGTTCCTTGAATGGCAACTGGAAAGGGCATTGATGGGGACTTGTAATCCGAGAAGCAGAAGGAAAACTAACGGGTTAATGCCACGTTTGGTCACTGAGATTACTAAATCGTGTCATGTTTAGTCACTAGAAAAAATTAATATCAACTTTGGTCACTCAAATTACTTAAACGGATCACATTTAGTCACTCTCCGTTAGTCTCCGTCCAAATCCGTTAATAGAGCCCGTTAAATGCTGACATGGATAACAAAATCGCCTAGTCAGCGTTGTTTTAGACTAGATATGGTCAAACCCGACCCTCCATGTCACTAAACCCGTCATGTCATTTGTCAAACCCAATACACTAACCCAAACCGACCCATGAACCAAACCCGACCCTATTCTCCATCTCTACCACGCCTCTCCACTTCTCCCCCTTCCAATTCACCTCGCCGGCAAATCCGCCCCCTTCCGTTTAATTCTACCAAGATCACTACATCCTCTCCGTCGACCCTCAATCCACTACCTTCATCGAACAAGAACCCAAAGAACAAGCTTCTCCTTCCCCCATCAAGCTCAACGTCCCCCCCATCATCCCTCGACCTCCTCTCAAGATAATCGGTCGTCTCAGATCCAACCACCTGGATTATAAATCCCTCACCTGCTCCAGGCTCCGTCGCGACTCCGCCCCCATCCAGTTCATCTTCGCCAAGCTCCTCCTCTCTGACTCCGACCTCACCCCTCTACTCAATTCCAAATCCCCCCATTTCCTCTCCCAATCCTATTTATCGAATCCCGTCACATCCGGGTCAAACCAGGGCAGCTGGGAATACTTCTCCCGGGTCTGGCTCAGCAAACAGAACCGATCTTCAATCGGCCTTCCTCCTCCTACTCCCCGCTCTTCTGCAACTCACCGGAGTGCGCCGCCTGCGACGTCTCATCCGGCCGCTCCGACCAGTGCCTCTACCAGGATAAATATGGAGACGGGAAACTGACGACGGCGCGATGGGGGAATTGATTTAGGGTTTCGTCCGCTGCTGTGATGGAGGAAGGTGATGTTGGTGCGCGATGAAGAAAAAGAAGTACATAGCGGATTCGCAGGAGGATCTTAGGGTTTGATTGTCTGCTGCGATGGGGGAACTGAAGCCGGCGCACAGCGAAGATGAAGAAGAACTTGACTTCGACGGAGGATATGGGACAAGGGGGTCAAGGGGTAAAGTGGCTGGCTCCATCTCTCCCTGCTCTTTGATGTGTTTTATCGAAAATGGTAGACGAAATTGAAGGAGCAGAGTTTCGCGAAGAAGGAGAAGAGTTTCGGGTCTGAAAATGCCACTAACCCGAATGATTTTCCAATTTTGTTTTCTTAACTGGGTCGGATTTGGTTCTTGGTCCGGTTGGGTTAATGGGGTGGATTGGGTGTATGACATGGCGGGTTTAGTGACGTGGCGGGTCGGGTTTGAACATTTTTTACCCAAGACGGCGCTGACTAGGCGCTCTCGTTAGCCATATCAGCACTTAACAGGCTCTGTTAACGGATTTGGACGGAGACTAACGAAGAGTGACTAAATGTGACCCATTTTAGTAATTTGAGTGACCAAAGTTGATATTAATTTTTTCTAGTGACTAAACATGAAACGATTTAGTAATCTCAGTGACCAAACGTGGCATTAACCCGAAAACTAACACCAGCATGGAAGAAACTTGGGCTAAGTGCCAATGGACAATTGAGTGAATTGACCCAAAAGAAGGGCACAGCCCATTTATCTTTCGCATTTCCCGCCTAATCATCGCCCAACCCATATCTTTCCCGCCATGAAACGCTGTCGTTGCATCCGACACTTTTTTCCGTCTTGGATGAACTCGGGACGGAGCCGAAGTACACAAGGGTTTTACTTTTCTGCCTTTGTTATCTTCCCACAGTGCATAGAGATCAAGCTTCACTGAAACCCTTCTACTTCCAATCCCAAAGTCTGCTAGGCCGGGGGAAAGAACAATGCCGTCGGAGGATTCGAAGCCAGTGAAGCAGGAATCGGAGGACGACGAGAGGAGTCTGAGCTCCATGGTCCTTGCTCGGCGGAAGAATCCGACGAATGCAGGTACGGTAACCCCCAAACCTCGTCCCAAGCCGGCGAAAGTGAAAAAGGAGTCATCCGAGGACGAGGACGACAGCGATGAAGATTTCGACGGAGCTGTTAAGCCGAAGAAGGGTTCTTCTCAGGTTCGGTCGAAGGCAGCCGCCAAATTGAAGAAGGAAGAGGAAGACGACGAGAAACCCATCGCGAGACGGAGTTCCGCCTCGAAACCTGCTAAGGTGAGTTATCTATGTGTATTAGAAGTTCCAATTTGGGGATTAGTTGCTGGGAGTTAATGTTTTTTTCTCTCTTGAAACTGAAGGAATCGAGCGTGAAGAAGCAGAAGAAGACTGAAGTAGTGAAGGGTAAAGGAAGCGCGGGGACTCAGCAAAATGGGACGAAGAAGGAGAAGAAGGTTTATAGTTTGCCTGGCCAGAAGCGAGATCCTCCCGAGGAGGTAATTGTTCTTCGTTGGTTTGGTAGCTTAGGGTTTGTTCTGGTTTATGCAAGTGTTTGTTTGGAGTTAATTAACAATTCTGGATACTGTGGTTCAATTGCAGAGAGACCCACTGAGGATTTTCTATGAAACTCTGTATAAGCAGATTCCCAACAGTGAAATGGCACAAGTCTGGTGAGTTACATTTGCAACACCCACTATGTGAAGATTGTTTGATGGTTGAAGCATAATGTGATTATAGGGAAGAAGCTTACGCTGTAGAGAAATAGTAATGCTTTGTTCAGCGAAATGGCACAAGTCTAACATTTGCAGCCCTTCTCTGTGAAGATTGTTTGGTGGCTTAACCATAATGTGATTATAGGGAAGAAGCTTATGCTATAGAGAAGTAGTAATGCTTTGTTCAGCTACTTCGTAATAATTGTCAGCTTAGGATGAGGAATCTATTAGGGTTGGGTTATGGAGTTGCTGAGATCCTACTCTTTCTTAGAGATGTGTATCTTTTGAGCCTAATGAATAATCACAGATCTCAGCATGTAACAAAGAGTTGATGAAAATCAATCTTAGTTTCTTATGTTGATTGGTTTCTCGTATGAGTAAGAATGAACGTGAAAGATATAAGTCTCAGGAAAGTGGAGACTTCAGTGATCTCATCTTCTTATACCGCGGAACCATGCTTCACTCTTTGGTTCAAGATAGACTGCTGTTTTGCATTCTTGACTCATGAAGTCTACCCAGGTTTGACATTTGCTGCCATAGAGTCCCTGTTCGTTCTCATCAACATGTTTGATTACTAGTTGATACTTTAAGAACAAGACTTGTATTTTGAATATCCCTTGGCATTGCACAGTGCTATATTGAGTCACTGACATGTAATTCCATGGAAACTTCCTGCTGCACTTCTAGCAGCTGGCTTCCTGACTCATTCTCTGCTTGTTGTAGGATGATGGAATCGGGATTGCTTCCTAAAGACAAGGCACAAAAGGTGTTGGATATGAAGCTCAAGAAGAAGAACCAGAAGTTTGCATCTCCAATGAAAAAAGGCACTCCCACCACCACCACCACCACCACCACCACAAAGAAATCCAACGGTGCAACTGATACAAAGAAGAAGCCATCTCCATCTCCAGTATCTACATCTGCCAAAGGCAAGACTGCTCCTTCCAAGGTTACCGCAAAAGAGTCTAATAAGAAGCGCAAGGCTAGTAGCGACAGCGATAATGACTCTGACGATGACTTTGTGGTGAATGTCATGTCGAAGAGACAGCGGGCATCATGATGATCCTATTACTTTGTTATGTTTCTGCTATCTTCATTACGGAAAGCAAAGCAGCATTTGGTCTGTATAAGTGTACTATAACCTAAAACTTCCCCAGAGATCTCGTGTTGAACTGACTGACATTATTTCACAGTTTCCTTTCCTGTTCCTGCTGTCTCATAGTCTCTCATTAGGCCTTGGCTCATGTCATTTTATTGCTACCATAATACCGTACCGCAGTCCAACAAAATCCCAATTTCGGATCCGTTTTGTTGGGCTTGGCCCATTACATAATCTCACGACGGTGAAACTGTAAATTCTCCTAAATTAGCGCTAAATCAACGCTTTGATCACTAAATAGGATTTAGGGAGTAGGACGAACGATATATTTTATTTCCTTCTTGAGAAACCGCCATAATGATTAATGAATGGATTAACTCATTTTTTTTATTTTAATTTGTGAGATTCATTGTAGAATGAAAATAAAAAGTCCCCATTTCATAAATTCTTAAATTTTATGTTGAAATAGGCGGTATAAATATTTCTCAAATTCAATAATCCATCGATTAAATTTGCGATTGCTGTACATATCATTTACATTTTTGCCATTTGATACGTCTGATTGTGATTTAAACACTAAGCTATATGAGCAAGATTGTATTTATTTTACACACATAAAATTTCAACGTATTTAGTAAATGTTTATAAAAAAATTAGTAAAATAATGTTTGTTTTATTATTATTTGGAAAAAAAAATTGAAGATACAAAGTACAGTCGATTTAAGTTGGAAAGTCTCTCTGACGGAAGTCGTGAAGCGGAGCGAGGCGGGAGGGGAGCCGGAAAAACCCTAAATCGGCAACAGAGGACCCTCCATTGAGCGACACGTGTCACCAGCTCCCACCCCCCGCGCCACTCGATTTTTTTTTCTCCCTTCCCTCTTTCTCAATCATAAAACCAAAGAGACAGAGTCTTCACCGCAACCAAATTCCTTTCTCCCCCTTATCTCGCCGTCGGAATTTCCACCCTCTAATCCCTTCTTCTTCCCCAGAGCTCTATCTCTTCTCTTCTGGTCTCTCGTCCCTCGCCAATGGCGGATTGACCTGATTAGGTCTTTGTTTTTGTTTGTCTTTTTCCTTTTCCTTCTTGGGCGTGACGAAGATGAAACAGGGGAACAACTGCTCTCTCCTACCCTCTTACTTCGAAGAACACGAGCACGAAGTCGCCTCAATTCTGCTTGACCTTCCTCTTGTAATCGACCAATCCAAACCCTCCGCCGCCTCCGCCTCGTCGCATCATTCCATTCCGTTCTTCTGGTCCGGCAAGCGGAAGAGATCTTGTCTCTCTCGCGGAGGCCGAATCGATTCCTCGCCTTCAACTGCAGCATTATCTCCGAGCCCGTCTCTTCGTGATGCCCAGCAGCCGTTGGCGGCGGTCGAGAAAAGTTCGGCGGCGAGGGGAGAATCGAAACCTAAGGAGGAAAAGGAGGGCAGCCCTACAACGCCGCTTTCCCTGTCACTGAGCGAAGAGGAAGAATCCGGTGAGAATCCTCCCCGCTGTAAGCGGAGAGTCGCCTCCGCCGTCAGCAAAAAGGTAAACGCTTCGTTTTCCAGTGGTTTTTCGTTTGCTGGGTGGATTTGACCCTTTTACCCTTATCCCAATCTTGATGGTAAAATTCTGAAGCTGTGAATCTTTCTGTGGGGAAAAAAATTGTTCAGCAGTCGAGGAAGGATTTGATGGAGAAAGTTGCCGAGAGCGCGGAACAGCGGAAAGTTTTACGGAAGGTAATTTTGAAGTTTCTCCCTTTTTTCTTCTCCACTCTGTTTCCCCAATCCGTCTAATATTGTCACTGGAAATTTACTGTGGGGGGTTTCGGATTAAACACAGGAGATTGAGAATGTAACCCGTTATTACAAAACTTTGGAAGAGGAGAATTCGAAACTGAAAGCCATTGAAGAACAGGTAATTCTTTCTTTCCCCACCCACTCCCTTAAGAAAACCCTGCTCATAGAAAGCCAATCAATTTCTAACCCTAATTGCTCCCAATTGAAAATGTGCAGCTGAGGCTTGGCAAGGAAGTGAAAAGGCCTGGATTAACCGAAACCCAATTGGCCCAACCGAGAGCCGGTTCAGTGGTTGTGAATGAAAATGGAGTGGAGGGATCACTGATTCGAAAGGTTGGGGTGGTGCCTCCGTGTTCATCGAGCTGCAGCAGCAGTGGTAACAATAATAATAATGGCAGCGGGGCGATTGGGATTGATCTGAACAGCGGGAGTGGGAATGTGAATGTGTGTTTTCCGGTGGGGGAAGGGAGGTGGGAGGAGTCGATTTTGGGGGATTGCTGGCTGCGGCGGTTTGATGATTCAGGGCTGAGGGCGGCAACGGCGGCGACGGCGAGGAAGAGGAGGATTGAGAAGAGGAGGGAACAAAAAGAGCGACGGCGGCGAGGGTTAACTAATATTAGGTGGGCTTGTTGGAGCGAGAAAAACTTTAACTAATATGATAGTGCTGCGTCGTTTTTTAGTTAACTAATTGTATTATTATTAATCTTATGATTATCGGCTTATATAGATTATTAATCAATATTTTTGGATTAAGTTGCTTATTAGTTACTTTTTCCTTAAGCAAAACAGATCTAAGGATGTTTTATTATTGTTAATGCTGGCAGCTTTAGGGGTTGAAATTTTAATAATTTGAGTTGGTAACTTGTTATTGCTTTTTGGGGAGCTTGTAAAGTTATGGGCTCGTATTGGGCCGGCGAAAGCACGGCTGAAGGCTGATGCACAAGCCCAAAATGTCAAATTGATTTTCACGGCGGAATGTGGATACTGGATACGAAATTAGATGCCGAGCCTACCCCATTGAAGTAATGAGCGCGGGACGGATATATTCAATATCTGTACTTGCTTCATTTCGTGATAAGTGTGGGTCAGGTTTTTTTTTTTTTACAGAAACCTGTAATTAAATCATTAATCGGAATTGGCTGCTACATCATCCAGGTTAATCCGATCAACTAGATAAATTGGCGGTCGATCCAGCCAAACAATCCGCTCATTCCATCTAGTGCGAGCATGTGCCATGATATGAGCAACTTCATTTACCTCCCTGCACACATGAGTGAAGCTTCCTCATCGCTCCTCCACCACCCGTCGAATATTTCGACACACCACTCCTAGCTCCGATCGAGAACAAGATTGCTCTGTCAACAGTTGCACCAGCTGCAAACAATCTGTCGCCATGATTGGTTTTTGGACGTTAAATTGTTGTGCCAGCAGAGCTCCCATCTCCAAAGCCATCGCCTCAACCATTTTCGGAGTGAACTGCCCATGTACCATCTTTGCTGCTGCAAGAATAAACTTCCCATTCTCGTCCCACATTACCACTCCAAGGCCGATCCCCCCATCTTGTAGCACCCCAGCGTCAGTGTTAACCATGTCTCGACCCCTCGGAGGTTTGCGCCATTTCTTCTCGTCGGGAGGGGGCTGAGGTGGTGTGCTCCTCTCCTGATACTGGCGATAGTCTTCCAGGAAGTGCCTCGCCCTATCCACGATCTCATCTTCCGCCGTCTTCAGGCCATTAAACAAGTGTGGGTCAAGTTGAGTAATACTGATATGGGTATGTGTCGGGGCAGTTTGACGGATTCTCTTATTTATTTAAAAAAATAACGTTGAGAGTACATAGACAAAAACACTTTGTAAATGAATGAGACTACGAGAGATATAGTATAAGAAATAATTGAGTATAAACAATTGAAAGACAGAGTCTTAAAAAAAATTAGGATGAAAACATGATTTTAAAAAAGTTAAAAATGAGAAATACAGATATTGATGCAAATTTTGAGAGAACTGGTAAATTTTTTTGAAGCAATATCATTATCTCGCCCCACGCTACTGTGATTTGTGAATTTGATAATACCCACCCAAACAAGTCGGTGGATATCGAGTCGTACGAGTCAGTCGTTGCCAATACTAACCTGAAGTGATGAGGTCGATCAGGAAGACCTACTCATTGTGATGAGATTGGAGACCTAAACTAACTGGCGGTTTGGTTGGGTAAGTGAATGATAATATGACTTTCTTATTTGTTTCCGTAAATTACAATCGCAATTATAAAAAATCATAATCTTACATGCACCAATTTAATAATATATTAATTTATAATTTACATTCATTCATGGAATATATCAATTCTAGTTATCACAAATATCAAACCATCCCTTAGTGAAATTGGTGCATTATAGAAATAGAAGCCATGCAAGTTTGTATTAAACGATCATAGAAAGCAAACGAATTCCGGAACAACTAAAATCCAAAAATTAAGAAACAAGACAATTCAATTCGATCAACCTTCAACCAAATTAGCTTGGGATCTAATTGATTTAAAGCTCGATTAATCAACAGTTGGATGGTGCATGGACTAACTTCTAAGTTATAACCCAATATTCTATAAGATCATAACTCGATCAGCCTAGAAATAAACTTTTAAAAAAACTATAATTAGTCAAATTGAATTCGTGAATCGGTCGGATTCGAGTGATCTATAATTTCATTTTCTTCCTTTCTATTCTAAAAATAACTGAGTTTTTACTTAAAATAATTTAATCCCTAAACACACAAAAAATTATAAAAAAAGCCAAATAGATATAGATCAAATATAATATGTCAAAACTTTGACACTTATTCCTTCTTCACTTTTTCCTTTACTATTTTTAGGATTTATATTCAAAAAGAATAATGAAATACTAATCTAAATATCTATTAAGTTTAGATATCTAACTGTAATTTGAATATGGGTATTGATACAAATTTATAGATTAAAAATCTAACCGAATTCAAATAAATGGATATGAGTATTGTTGGGGCATAAAAGGGCCCAAGAGGAAAGCCCAGAAGGACGGATTGGGCCTGGAATGCGGGCACAGCGAAGGGAAAGCCCAACCCAAAAGGGGCATTAGGCTATAACCTAGGCGGTGGGGCTGGGCCTGACGTAGGGCGCATGTCTACAAAAGTGGCAACGGCCAGAAGCGTACGGAGGGGACAGGAAGTGGGGCCATGCGCCTTGGGGCCCTGGGCAAAGTGTAAGAGTGTCGGGGCGCCTGGCAAGGGTGAGATACAGTGCATTTAATAGTGTGATGATGTGGGGCGGATTTGGGGGGCAGTGGTCGACCCCTACCCTAGGTATAAATAGTGAAGTTGGTGGAGCTCATTTAC